GAATGTCATAGGAACATTAATTGAGAGCGATTTGTAGGTCATAACTAGAGTTCTTGCTTTGAGTGGTCATAAGCATCCAATAATGCGGGCTCGCATTTGTAAGCTAATAGTTACCCCTCTGTGTAAATATGTATGACAAGTATATTGAAATGTATCCCTCGCAGATGTTATGTAAAATTACTTTTTATGACATAATTAACTGTATTATTAATATTTAGATTCGACATATTAAATAACGGTATTATGACCAGCCCACCTGATAACAAGAGGTGATACATTCATTGTTTAATCTTGAGAATATTGTTTTTAATTGCATGCTGACAAAATTTTATCGCGTCTCTTTCTAACTAAGTTTCCTATATATGTAAAAATGGTCTAGTCCGCAAATAAACCGACATAATGTTGCGGATTCTTCAGAAGCAATACCACGCCTACCATGGTGTATTTAATAGCATGCGCTCCAAATTACAATAAGATTTTTTCATCCGCAACGCTGAGCGGTGTCCTTGTTGTACAAAATTCAGTTATTGAAATATGTACAATATACGAGTAGATATAGTTGAATGCAGTATTTATATTTTGTTATATTTCAATACTTACTAAATGAAGTTGGGTATATATTCAAATTACGTCTTCTTGAAATCAGTGTAAGAATAACCAAGGAAAGTTACTGAACAATTTTAATTTATTCAAAAAGTATTCCAAAAGTTTGCATATTTTCATACAATAAGTGTGTAACGTCACCTTGCCAAACTTTATATATATATATGTTTCAACTTAAAATGTGATTTTTTTGTATATATTATTCCGGCCATGTGGGATTCGTACCCGCGTCTTCCGGCCCGAAATTTCACGGTGTGAATTCATAGCTTATTGATAAATGGTCTGTGATCGTTGTAAATTTTTTAACATATCTATAAACAGTCACATTTTCAGTTTCATCTTGAGTGAAGAGATTAGCGTTAAAACTAAAATATATCATCACAATTTGTTTAAAATTTAAAATAATGTTAAGTATTAGTAGCAGTCCCGCAAATACGCATATTTGATTATTGCTACGGAACCACCGGTATGTAGTAAGTTTTTTATGTAAAAATTTATTGTAATGTTTGCCCACTTTTCGAAGATTTTATTTTGTATAATGAAACAAAAAAATCAAGTGAGCATAAAGCTAGGCTGCATAGACAGTTCTATCTTAAATTATCTAGTCTTGAAACTCGATAAAGTATAAGTCAAAGACACCTGCATTACATTTTAAGTACAACATAATATCAAAACTCCAACTTTCAAATTCAAAATATCTTTATTCAAATAGACGCTTGCGCGTTCTTAAGAAACGTCGAATTTTACATGAATAATTAATACTTAAGTTCATAAGTAAGTTATCGTACGTAAGTACTGTACTTATTTAATATTGTTTAAGATGTATTCAGATTACAGTTTAAAATAGAGGAATGTTAATTTTCTTATGAAAAAGATTAGGAAAGTAATAAACCAGTCGCAAACGAGTTCAAAGTTGTTAAACTAAGAAACTTGTAAACAAAAGTGATAAACTGGATTGTTGTCCAATAAATAGCTTCTTTACGACATGACGCCGAAAGGTTTGGGCGTGTCCTTACAATGGTAAAGATAAATTACCCCAGCTTACACAGTGGGATCTACATTCTAGTTTTAAGAGTAGAATATTCACACTTGTAGCAGAAGAGCGAATCAGAAAAAAAATATGCTCATGGCCACGTTTCACGTTTTCTTAAAATCATTCGTCATAATGGGAAATTTATTTAGTGACGGGAGTGGGGTAATTTTATATTGAAACATCTGGAAAATCTTTTAGAAAATTATATTTTTGTTTACAAATCAACCGAGATTAGCATCACATACGTGATAATTGAACATAAAGTTCAATACTAATTGGTATAGCCTTAATTCATAAAGTTTTTGCTAAATCAGTTTCGGGAAAGAGAGTCTACCTTTTAGTGTAACAGGAAAATTTAATATCAGTTCAATTGTAGTTTTATATTTTGATACATGCAACCCATTTGATGCAAGGCAAAATAAATTATGGTTTCAACGATGGCAATACTGTCCTACGCGTTATTTTTAATTCAGCCGTGTTTTGATTTCTTTTTATGTTCAACTCCGTTCTTGTGATAATCAGAAAAAGCTATAAACTAAATGTTTCAACGTTCCCACAACTTCGTAAATGGGCACGTGGTGAAGCGTAGGGTTTCTTGTGACATATAAAAAGAGATTATAAAGTGGAACGAATGTGCAAATTATGCTAAGCTCACGTAGCAGGTCATGGTTAGCGCTTTCCTAAAACTGAACTCTGAATTAATTTTGTAGATTCAACAATGAACAATCAATCTTCATCCATTTATCACTGTTAAGCCAGAGTTTAAGTTAGTAGTCAAATGAATAAAACAATCGGTGGTAATTTATTTAAACTTTTATATCTAACGTTATTGAACGAATTCCATTGTTTGTTATGTCACAAGAAGTTAACAATCCATTTATGACTTAAACAGCTTTTGTCATGTTTTGTTTAAAATTAATTGGCAGTATCATTGCGTTGTACATTATTACTTTAGGATTCTCTATGTAAGGCTGACGTTGACACATGAACATTAAAATGTGTTCAAAGAGAGGAAGAGAGGAAATAATGCGTCGCAATTCGATATTTCGAGGCTTAGAAGCTTAAAATTATATGTCATGCCGTCGTGACAGAAAACTAATCGCTTGTTAGTCTCACGAACCTGAAGAGTGATGATTAAATTTTACGCCTGATTAGGAATATTACGCATTAGTCAGCAGGTTAATATATTTAATAAAATATTTTTTATTGAAGAATCAAAATTATTTTACTAATGCTTGAAGTCATGGCTTAATGTTCAGGTGCTACCTTTGTATTTAATATACTCTAGTATCTTGAGTTCCAATGTCAGTGCCGGCACAAATAAAGTTATTGACGAAGAAGAGTGTTGACTTATCATGTCTTCAGCGTTGGAGGAAGACATGGGAAACCTGCATATTTTCGAAATAATACAAATCATTTCTATTCAGAGGAGGCCGGAGGAGAGGGTATTGTTCAGTAGTGGCAGTAGGTTATATATAAGTTGTTACTTATCTTTTCTTTTTAAGACGAATGAGTAATTTCAAGCGTTTACCTTATTCAATACATTACAATACCCTTTGATTATATACACGTCTAGTTAGGTTTGCTTAGAAAAGAAAGTCGAAGTGGCACCTTTACCGATGCATGAAAATTTGTGTATTCAAAGTGAACCGCCGTCAGTACTTTTAGCGCGTCATCACATATAGTTTTATTTCCGCAATAATAATTAAATATGAGGTTCTAATTAATAAATATAAAAAGCCGGGGAGATTATATTTTTCATTAGTAATTATTGTTAATGTTGTGAATAAGTTAAATAAATTCATTTTAAAAAAATAATTCTTCCAACAAAATCAAAGAGGTAATTTCCTGTGACGTGTAGTGTAGTAATATGCACTATACATATTATATGATTTATTTTTCCGGCCACTATATTATTTATAATACGAAATGAGAATTTGTTTTAACATTAAACATAAATACTAAAAACTCAACACCTGTCAATTTCCTGCTTGATGTATCTAATACCTTTAAACGAGTAAATCTTGTATGTATATATATATATATATATATATATAATCGGAATCTCGGAAACGGCTATTGCGATTTTCATGAAATTTAGAATGTGCATAGATTCGTGGGCGAAAAATCGATCTAGCTAGGTTTCATTTTTAGAAAATGTCCTTTTATCCCTGTTTTCAGAGAATGAAAAATATCATTCGAATATGACGGTAAATTTCGCCAAAAAAATGTTATAATAGCTCGGTCGATAATCGGGCGTCCCCGATATTCGATATATTTCACTTGCAAAGGAAGAAAATTAATTCGCGTATAATGTACACTGAGTCGCTCATTAATTTTACGATACGTTGTAACTAAATGAATTTCCCGCCAAAAGGAACAAAGCAAAGCAAGAAGAACTGAAAATTTTATAAGTAATAGTCAAATCAAAATCAAAATGCAAATAGTGGGCATGTTCTTTCCCGGATGAACATATTTCTGCAATAGAAGCTCCAGTGTCCTAAACAAAGTACAAGTATTATAGCAATATAATCAAATATAGCATTGATTTATTTACGTCGTGATAGATGGCAAAAATAGTACGTTCTATAGTAAAAGCAGCAAGATTTTCATCACTCGAGTTTTCACGACAATAGCATTATGAATTAGAGAAGACCGGCGTGAAGTGGACGTGTTACACTTCTGCGTTTCTTCTGGTGAGTGAGGTATCCGGGGCCCGCTTTACTACAAGATGGCAACGCATCTGCAACCGTGTAGATGTTGCAAATGTCCATGGACGGCAGTTATCACTTAACATTAGGTGAATCGAGAGTTCGTGCGCCACCTTCTCACATAAAAAAATATTGTAATATTTGTATCAAAAATAATTATTTTTAAGCAACTACGATATGCCTTTTCCCTCATTTTCCTTATAAAATTTCAAACAAACTCTCAATTTTTAAGTATCACGCGTCAAATTTCTTGTCACTCTTAAATCTTGATATTTATAGTCACGGCAAATCAGAGTCAACAACTAGGTTATCTAGAGTGGTTATTCTTATTTTTTATATGAGAGAGTGGTAAACGAGCTGGCGGTTCATCTCATGTTAAGTGATAACCGTCCCCCATAGAAATTTGCAACACCCGTAGGGTTGCAAATGCGTTGCCACCTTCATATAAAGTGGGCCCCGGCTACCTCATTCACCAGACGAAACGCAGAAGACTAACGCTTCTACTTTATGCCGATCTTCTGTGAGATCGTGGTACTTACCCGGATGGACCTGCCCTTTCGTGCAACAATGAAAACTGTTGCATGGTCCTACCACAGTTATTATTCAATATGTTATTGTTGAAATTGCCTTCGTAATGTCATCGGCAAACTTACTAAGTGCGATATTCGCTTGCTTGTTTCGATCCAGCTGGCCCCTTAAGGCCCGTAGCCTGCGTAACTTCTGCTCCTGGGCCTCTACACGCTCGCGTAACCTTCTGAGCCTTTCCCCCTCCACAGCCACCTGTTTGGAATAAAAATAACAGTTAATTCAAGGGCAAACAGCGTCATTCGCGTGTATTTATGTACTATTCAAATGCTTATCAAGGTAAAACACTTCCATGGTTTAAATATCGAATTTAATTTTAGTTGTATGAGGATTGTGTATGTAGATCATAATCGTTTCAGATAAAATTTTATAAAACTTATTGAACTCAGCCTATTGGTTTACAGCAATAAAATTCCGTATAGTGAATTTTAATATTCCGAATTTTGAATCTACATGCGCTATGTTATACGCGCCTCAAGCTTCGTTTGACGAACCCCCGTCAAAGCGTCGTTGTAAAAAAAATCGAGCGAACTGAATGCCGCATAGCTTTGTACTTTTTAAATCTTTCCTACAACAGTTCTCTGTCGCAATTGTCACGCGTTTGACGTTTGAGTTTGAGCCTGAAACATATACTGTGTACACGGGAAATACTTTTCAGAGGATCTTTTTTTTCCAACCGATATCATCATACTACGTAAAACCGCACTTATGCAGGGAAATTAGTTTGTAGCTAGCACTAAATCCCTTATTTTATCAAGTGGAATTTTTATTAATAAGAATTTAAGACCGGCTGACAAAGGATATAATTGCGGCCTTAGGGTTAAAATGTTTATTAATATTTAATTTTAGAACGGCTCAAATTTTAGGGGCAAACCTCTTGCATTTAATATGCAATCGTTTTGCTCCGTTTTGCTCATTTATAATTTTGCAATGATTACAGGTGATAATTTGAATACAATGACTGTTTGAGCATTGAACGTCACTATAAGGAGCTTTATAATCCAAGATACATTTCACCTTGTATTAAAGTCGACAAAGGCAATTTTATTTATTTTATAGGCTTATTTATTGCTTGAGAAGAGTTTATTTCTTTTAGTAGGGCGATAAATATCGCATTAGGGTAACGCGACTCCGGGTCCCGGCCAAGAGATTTATTAACACCGGGCACGAGAATTTAATTTTTCGACCTTATCTCCTTTAAATTTCTCCGAAGGATTCCGGCACAGTTATGACACGAAAGTTGGCGGTAATATCGCACAGATAATGCATAAATTAAATTTGAATAGAATCTCAGTTAATCTATCATAACTTATTTTTTATCCCGAATTTAGAATTAACTCGGTTGGAATAAAAAATTTTGAAGCAAATTAAAATTATCTAAATCAGTAACAAACAAAGATAATGCAACCGCATCTCTTTTCGCGAAAAATATTGATTGGTAGACTAGTACTACATGTGTACTTTTATTTGAACTAATAAATAACTTAATTTCCTTTCAGAAACAAAGTTCCACATTGTCAGGCGTATTGGAAACATCGGTTGACTTCGTTTTAAAGAGGAATAAAAGAAAATCAGAAGAAAACATATAAGACACGGAATCGTTTAAAAAAATGTGGTACTCTACTGTTGTAGGGATATGCATGTCTTCGCTGTTTCACGTCTGGGCAGTTCCGTCCGGGTAAGTACCACGACCTCACAGAAGACCAGTGTAAAGTGGAAGTATGACAAATACTTTCGCGTTTCGTCTGGTGAGTGAGGTAGCCGGAGCCCAATTTTTAAAAGGTTGTCAACGCATCTGTAACCCTCGGGTGTAGCAGATGTCCATGGGCGGTGGTATTCACTTACCATCAGGTGAACTGTCTGCTCGTTTGACAAATTTTCACATAAAAAAAAAAGGTGAACCGTCGCTTGCCACCTTCTCATATAAAAAACGTATTAAGATACTCGTTGATTATTTATTATACATGCAAATACTGATCATGCACATCCTGAGATTAATGGTAAATCACAGCTTTGGCCAGGTAGTGATTAACAAGTAATGCAAAGAGGTGTAAAGAGGTGTCGTGCAACTGAGATTAATTTGAATCCAGAGCTTCAACTGGACACATTTCAATTATTCATTCAGCTTTCAGACAGCTTTCTAACAAGGTCAGTCTATTTCAGGAATCGACACATTCCGCAGCCATTTTGCGACCAAATTTTACTGCGTGGATGTTATTTGGACTGGTTCGTTTACGATGCCACATGAACGCGAAAGGTGAGAATATACTTATTAAATTTTGCATGCGAGAAACGGAAAATTGAGTTAGTTACCCACTTGCCATTTGATCGAATTATCTGCCTTAATCATGTCGGCAATGTACTTTTTCTTTTTCACACGCTTTTATGTGCATGATGCATCGTATTTGGATATGAATTTCCCCATTTCTAAAAATGCGAAAAAATTGTTTGTATATTAAGTAAATTTTTTTTTATTATTATAACAGCTTGCTCTGTTATATCTGCAGAAGATGTCTTTACGAAATAAACATATAGTATATGTATTTTAGTTTTTTATGTTTATTACATCAACTGTGATATATTTAAACGGGCGCGTAAATTTAATGTTTATGTACTTTAAGTATCGATCCTAAGAATGAACAAAACCGGAGGAATAATTTGTTTTAATGCTCAGATCTCGACTCGTAAATCGTGGATCGTCTGGGCTTAGTCGGTAAGGCGACACGCTTCATCGCGTTAATTAATCCAAATTAAATGTATTCCAGGCGGCGTCAAGGTCGCATGTAAATTAGCGTAGAAGAACACTCAATTTTTAAATAGAATTACGAACAACGCATCCATCCGCAAGCCATCCCTGAGAGTTTCAAAAGGGATAACTAATACTTCCTTTTTCTGTATAGCTTATATTAATACTCATATGTGGCAGGTGTAAATCTAACAGCAGCACTAAAGCAATCAATTAGAGCGTTAAATCTATGGCAATACAACGCTACAAATAAAAGCCAGTGTTTTAGGTCAGAATCCGACAAGCGGATGTTCATTCGAATTCGCAGAACGTTTGGACTTGTAAAAAACATACGCTAAACTCGTGTAAGCTTTTTACGAATGAAATATTGAAACGTTTTCAAACATACCCTTTCCGAGATATCTGATAAATCCAGTGATATAATTTGGTTTTGTTTTCGAAGCTCTACATGGCACGTTAAGACAATAACTTTTTGTATGTTATTGCAATTGGACAAGCTGGTCGCCTGATGGTGAAGAAAACAACAGAAATGATGCAGACTGGTTGCCAACCACAGTGCGGGTATCCAGTTGTCTCACCAATCAGACGAAACCAAAAATTGTCAGTAGGTACATTTACTTAGTGGTATCTTGTGAGGCAATGGTACTTGCCTGTTAGATTAGTGAGAGGAAAGTGTTAAAGGAGCTGACACGTACGCTGATTTTGCTTTACCCCAATAAAATCGTTTATGAAAACAGCACACAAAAGAAATTTTATATGGAACGAAATCGCGCTCTTTGTGAATCTCCCACATACAGCGTTAGCTTAGATTTCCGATTTTCAAATACGGATTTCGCACGTTTCACGGCGAGGGGAGCGTTGCGAACGCTTTGATACTGGCAAATGGTTTTCAAGACGTGCAATGCACAGCCCGCATTGAAACAGCGGAGTGGGAATCAGGCACTCAGACTCTGATCTTCTACGTAGGATGCACTACCACCTATAATTTTGCTTTCACATAAAAAGGATCCATTAATATGAAAGTACCCGTATAATTTTAGTTACATTATAAAGATTGTCGTAACAACTTGCGGACTACGAATAACGTTAGGACTACATTAAAATCATAAAGTATGTAGACTATCCAAGGTTTCACTGACGTAGTATCAGACTTTGTGGATTTTTGGTAAATTTAAATTCCTACGATTACGGCTCCAGATAAATCCCACAGGAACATTTTTCTGAAGCAAAAACTAGTCTGTATTCCATTCCGACATATCTTGATCCGCTTGTTGTGCGAAGATATATTTAATGAACAACAAATGAACTTTCGCATATGATATATTTGCTAAGCATCTGTTACTGTAAAAAAAAGTGCACATTTAAGTTTAGCGCTACAAATAATATTAAAACAATATTATCGTTTGTTCTATAAATAATAAGATCTTTCAAATTCATTAAAGCAATACCATCATCTTTTTGTGTTGCATTTAATTATTAACTCAATAGTGACCTAAAATAAATGAAAAAAAGCTTACCAAAACGAAAGAGAATGAGTAAAAATGTCAGTAAAGTAATTATAACCAATAAAACAGCATAGTTTTATTAATTAAAACAGTCATGTACTTATTGCAAACATGCCATTCATCACAGTGTTGATTAAAATATCAATGTTAGATGTGAAACCGGAGTCATCCATTTTCATTACTGCACACGCCCATGCTTTATCCGAGCAAACGTTGTGGGTTGTTAGTTAGCTTTACGCTACAAATTCTATATAACCTACACCCACACGTTATGTACATACCAAATCACATGCTGCCTACGTCGTTTTACAAATACGACATACCATGTTCCCTTAGTGCCTCCGAGTTCTTTATACCGATCACAATTTCAATAAAATGTTACCTTATGAATGAAGATATAATAAGCTACAGTGACAGAACTGTTATTGTATTTTAACACACATATCAATATAAACTGAGTCAAATGGCTTAAATATGTAGCGATATGCTAACAACATACAGTTGCAAAAACGTCTATGTTAGGGCCACGCACGCGTGTTCGATGTTGCACGGAGGGGCAGGTACGCCTGGGTTGGTACCACGACCTCACAGAAGACCGGCGAGAAGTAGAAGTGTTACACTTCTGCGTTTAGTCTAGCGAGTGAGGTAGCCGGGGCCCACTTTGTTGAAAGATGGCAACGCATCCGCAACCCTACGGGTGTTACAACTTCCATGGGCGGCGATCATCACTTAACATCAGGTGAACCGCCAGCTATTTCGCCACTTTGTCACATAAAAATAAACTTTTGCACGAATCCGAAGTCCGTCCCCGTAAGTACCACGACCGTGAGGTCACGGAGATATACTCGAAGACCATATCTGACGTGGGAACGCCCTTGGGAACCAACACCCAGATTCGGTAAAAATTACTCTCGGATCACACAATTACTTGTCCCGTGTGGGAATCGAACCCACGACCTCTAGCTCCGATGGTATAGCAACTGCTAAACCGACAAAAACCAAGAAATAAACTGTTCTTGTGTAAAGTTTGTGCAAGACTCCACTTTGAGTATGAACTGCGAGAGTTAATTAGGGAGGGAGGGATTAATTAGGGGAAACTATTAATTACATAGTCTTCGTTTATAGTATTGTTAACGGGGTTCATGTCCAGGTGTCAACTTCCCGCCTTGACAGTTTGAATAACATGGATAAAATATGATTATTATTCGGGAACTTTCTATTGAAGAGTCGAAATTTGGCCTATAAAAGGGGGTGGGAGCGGGCTAGACGCGAAGATCAGCGGTGAAACTTGAAGAGGAAAAAGAAATGGAACAGTGAAGAATGTGAAATAAACTTTACTGCTGTAAAGTATAGTATAGTGTCAATATAAATTTTAATCTTTATCCACCATAATACAACTAAAAATAGTTTATATGATTGCATTACTTAATTTACTCCTTAGGTTAGTTACATTCATATGTTGATATTTAACATGCATGAGTTACAAAATGTTCACAATCACTCGAGTACCTATGTTGTACGTGCGCTATATCGGCGAAGAATCATGTAATAATAGATACTGATTTATAAATTGTTTCATTGTTTTAGGATCTGGCAATAGGCCAATAAGCCCACATATAAATTGTTTTAAAGACAATCGAACAAACACTAATTATCATAGTCAACTCTATTGTAAAAAATGGCAATTGTTTATAAAGGTTGATTAGTAGAACCGTATGTATTTATATCAAAGAAGTCAAAATATCGCTTGGGGCGTTTCAAAATATTTTGAGTATGTAAAGAAAATAGCAGAGAACATATTTGTTAGATGAACAATAACTGGTTGAAACTAAAAGCATAATATGACTTATACTTGTTTATAAAGTTCTAGTTTTTAATAACATGTATTCATTGCAATGCCAGAAACTTATCTAATCAAACTAAATGTTTCTGTGTTTTTCTAAATATTGTTAAGTAAACCAGTTTAGTATCTCGTTAAAGTCTTAAACTGTCGTCTCTAAAAGCATTTTTGTAATGAGTATCTCGAGACCGTTATTAAATTCCCAATGGGCCAAGACAGAAGTAGGTCGCAACTGCGTATGGAAAGGATATTTAGATTTTGCAAGCCGATGAATGCAAATGTAAATCAACGTATACATTATCTGAACTTATAAAAGATTTTTAAATATTTTCTGTCTGATTTTTGTGTGCACTTCGCAAAAAAGTGATAATTATTCTTTTATTTTTCTAACACATTGTTCTTCTATTTTTAATGATCTTTCCAGACATGAAATATAAAATGATATTATTTAGTTATGTACTTTGTTATATACTTTATACAACAAAGACTGCTAGCTCCCAAGAAGGTATGACCCTCATCTTTTATCTCAAAAACCAGGATAATCGAAATGTGTTAAAAAAACTATTCCAATCTTCTTTTGTGTTTCCAGGTAGTTGTTAGTTACTTATAACTCATAAGCGACTCTGAGAATTCCATATTAGGTCTAAGTGCTAGGAGTAAACTTCATCACTTTTTGTTTATGTGAGGAGGTGGCGGACGAGCTGGCGGTTCAACTGATAAGCTAACTGATAAGTTAAGATAACGTAGGGTTGCAGATGCGACACCTCTTAATAAAGTGGGCCCCAGCTACCTACCACTCACCAGACGAAACGAGAAAGTGTAACATTTCCACGACGGCCTTCCGTGAGTTCGTGGTACTCACCCGAACGGACCTGCCTTTTCGTGCAACACAAAAGACTTTGGCGTGGCCCTACTCCATAAGGAATACACAGGGGCTTTAAGCAGCATGGTGCTTTGTAGCAGCGTGCAATTTGTAGCAATAGCATTCATATGCCAGGCATAAGGAAGTGACATATTTCCACGTTACCTGGTGCTGGCGGGCCTCTTGCTGCTTGAGGTACCGCAGCCGCTGCTCCTTAGCACAGAGCAGCTGGTGTTGGGTGTCGATCTGCTGCTGCTGCCTTAACGCCATCGCGCGCAGCTCGCCCAGCGTTAGCTCCACCCCTTCCCCCAGCTGTGGACAAGGCGAGGCATACAGTTACAGAGCTATGCATTTATGTATTTACTAGCTGCTGCCTGCGACTACGTCAGCGTAATAGGCTGAAGGTGTAATATTAAAACAGAAAGACAGATATACATAAAATATGTATATAAATTATAGCCTATGTCTTATTTTGTTGTACAAGCTATACTATTGTAAAGTTTCATTAAAATCTATTCAGTAGTTTTTGCCTGAAATAATAACAAAAATACATACAAACTTTCGCGTTTTTAATATTAGTAACGATAGTAAGGTTATAATCGTAATATAATCGGTTGGCGTTGTTGTAAGCCAGAAAACTTCGTCGTGGAGAAGTATTTGTACATATACACATATATTGTTCCTGACCTGGTTATCTGTCTGCATAAAATATCACTATGGTACATAACTCAAATATAAGGTATACTCCGCTCGTCTGTGATTAAAGCAGATGATGATAACGTTAACTCTTAATTTAAGAATCGCTGCTACTAATGCCAGATGCATCATTTTATGTTTTCCCAATCGACGTGTAGAACGAATATTCTTTCTAAAGAATTTAGAGAGAATATGGAAAGCAGTCATTAATCCTGTCTACCTCTTAAAGGTGAAAAGTTGTTACAACTTGTATAATGTATTAACATAGTATTAGTTTTCATTAAGACGACGTCTGGGTTTTAGCAATTGCTAACAAAACTAAAACGGACTTAAAAAAGAAAATTAAGATTTATTATTCTCTAATAAAATATTTCGAACATATGTGAAGTCCGCCAATCCGCAGTGGGGTCACGTGGTGGACTATGCCCTCTGTAAAGAGAAGGCCTTTACCCAGCAATGAGATATGAATAGGCTAATACTTTACTTTGCTTTTATTCTCTAATACTTAGGAGTAATCCATTATATAGAGACCTGGAATAACTTCGTGCATTTGAGGTCCAATAAAGCTATCATGAATTTAGAACAATAATAATAACCTGAATGAGCAAATCGCTTTGATAATTATTCATTCACTTCTTACTTAGAAGTAGTTAAATTTTACCAGCAACAGCCACGACCTAAAATACTCGCATTGCTTCGAATAAAAAATGTAATAACTGTCTTCAATAATGACTTCTAGGCCTGTTCAGGTTTATTGTACTACAGCTTTATCGTGTGTTAGACTAATGAAGAGTTTTTTTTAATCTAATGGAGTTTTTAAATATCTTCATCTAAATTAATGTAGGAATTCCTGTGAAAAGATACATACAAGTTAAAAGATACATATTTTTATTTGCGGTCAAATTATCTTTATACAATTTTACGTTCCATTATTCTAGACCTTGTCCGTTAGTTCAATAAGTTTTCGTCAGAAGTGTATAATTAAAGAACCATCAACAGGAATGTTGTCACGTCTGTCGTCTAAGAAAACATTGAAACCTGATACAAATCATTAACATCATCAGTGATCCTTTTTTGATATGAACATAAATAAAATTATTGATAAATACAGCCAAGCACTAATTGTATTGAAATGTGTATACGGGGAAGTAAGTATCTATGAAAGAAAATGTACGAAGTCAGTGATATACGTATAAACGGGGCAAAACTTTTATCGTGAGATTTACGTTTTATAACGGCTTTTACGTGTTTCGCTGATATAAAATAGTTGATGAAATCAGTTCGGCATTAACACCTGACCACGTAATAACGTTACCACGTGCTGCTCGTAAATCTACTTTTGGGCGTGACCTCCGCTGCTTTACGATCATATTGTGGTTTCACCTTCGCGAACCATTAGGTTATTTCATTTGGAGACACTGACGCGCCGTTGAAAGTTCCTCATTGTGTTAAGAAATCTAATTTCTAAGTTAATCATCAACAGTACTTAAATAATTTCATGTTTTATGCCAGTATCTTTTTCTTTTTGAAAGCTTAAATTTTTTCGACATACGCGTCGTATTTTGCCTTATTTCTTGATTATAGCGACGAATTAACGACGTGAATTAAATTATCACCCATGTTATTATGTTCGCTTATAAACGTACTCTAAAAAGCGACAACTTTATGAAAATATAAAATACCTTGCTGTTGAATAAATAAATCAATAGAACAAAACAATATAAAAAAATTAAATTACAAATCAATTAATCAATAAACAATTGAATCGTTTCTTCAAATGACTATCACACCAATTTTGTAAAATCACAAACACACACAAACTTCTGTTGTCCGTGTTTGTGACCCTCAGTCAAATTTGGAATGCCATCAGTTTTATGATTAATTTGGAAAAGAATCACGTATTAAACCTGTAAAGTATAGTTTAGTTTAAAGGTAAAAAAAGAACCGGCAAAATTAGGTACACATTCGTACAAATTGCCAAAAAACGTTCCATCTATATCGAGTTTTTGGCATTGTCCGGTTTCAAAATCCAATCGGATTTTGCGGACACCAGCGGGGACATTTTTTGCCAATACATCAGCAATGGCGGTCGCTATCAACAAGTGGCGAGGCCCATAAATCCTGACCGCAGACGGCCTTAATTCCACCCGATACGGCGCAGCCCAAAAGGCCGAACCGGGATTGTTATTCGGCCACATGAAATAAGACATTCCATTTGTTTGCGACGTGACGCGCTCTTTGAGGTGCGACATATTTCAAATTGATTTTCGCATTTTCTATCTTCAACTTTGGACATTATTTACATGGAAGTGTATTCAAATTTTGTAGATGTGCTTGTGTTATTTTGAGCAATCGCCTCATCAGCAGGTCGTATTGTGCGAGAGCAAATATTCATTCAAACAACATTATTGAAGTTTAAAAAGATACAGCCGAAATTGAACACAAAACTGAACCCATGAACAAATCAGAGAGCGGATTTACGATTTAAAATAATCTATTTAGTACGAAAAGAGATTTAAATTAATTTCAATGCGGTAAAGGAACAAGGCAAGTCGAATAGGCAAACTTATGTAATGACAGAGCCAGGCTGAATTATGGGGACAGTTTGGAACAATCGCAGCCGACAATGCAGTATTAAAGCCACAGGGAGTGGATGGATAATCCAGCGCCTCGACTACTGACCCACAGTTATCTCGGCGGGACACTCATATTTTCGGCTTCAAACGCTAATCCTATCTACGGAATGGGGATTTCTTGTATACAACGAATTGCGTAATGCGGATAATGTGTATATAAATTACGGAAACCGGCAAGCTTTGCCACATTCTGGCTTCAGTTTCTTTTTCACATCTTGAGTTTCAATTTTGGCAATTACTTTCGAAGAATTTACTTTTTCATCCCCCTTTCTTAGTAAGGCATTTTATACATTTTATTCTACAGATAAATCATGAGACAAGTATTTTAATTAGTATTATTTTGTTCTTTTATCTTTTATCGTTACATACAAACCTTTCCAATATATAATAAATATTCGTGAATGTGAGATAATAATTCGATATTTTTTTAAATTTTAAGAATTTTTTAAAATACGGATACCGTTTCCAGTAAATGCTTTCACTCCGATTTCATACATCTTTACTTATCCTGCTAAGGGAAAAGTTTCAATTGAGTAGGGCTACGTAAGGAGAAAAATTGCCAAAGTTTTTCTTTTGACAATATTGAGGTGACTTGACAATCTGTTTCCTATGATAATAATGTTCCGATAAAGTATCCAGGAAAAGCTTTGAAACTTTTTTTACATATCGTTTGTTGGTATTATGAAGATTTTCCTTTAAATTTATTTCGGATGTGAATGTGATTGCCACCTTATCTTTTTATAACCGTACTTTCAATATGTTTAATGTTAAGTTAGCGTATTCTATGTAAAACATGACTTGATGTAATATAGCATAAAAATAAATAAAACATCAAAGATCTATTTATTTTTTGCGTTATACTCGATTGTATACATTTTGGTACTGTACCCAGTTTGATAGAATATTTGAATTCATCTCCAAAAGTAGGATCGCAACAAAACGTTTTGAATAACATCAGTAGTTATTATAGTAGAACAGGAGAAAAGAGTGTTTATTTGCAATTAAATAAAAAAGTAAAGAAAAAAAAACAGTCTATAAACGTCCCAAAGGTCTATTCTGTACAGGTTGTACTAGAGTCCTTCCTATGTGACCCCACTGCGTATTGGCGGACCCCACATATCTTCGAAATATTTTTTTTGTAATTATTTAGAAAATATACAGATTGCCTTCCGCTGAGCACGTGATAAGTTAGCACTTAAAATAACAATTCCAATGGTGCACCGGGGATCGAACTCCGGGGGTTGCTCGAGTATATTGAATTAAAAGCGAGCGTCCGGACAATGAGCAATCACGGCTCTGCTACAGACGTCATTAATCATTTTAAAAAATCAGTGGGCAACTTAGAATTAATTAAAGAGTTTTCAATTCGTTAAAGTGTTAATTGTTCTTCGCTCTTCCGGCGGGCTTTAGTTCCTGTTAAGTTCTTTAAAGGAGTGGTCTATTCAGAAGGTGCGGTTGCGGGAACACGGGCTTTATTACAAGGAAAGTACTTCTTTGACTTTGAACAGTATGCATTTTTCGATATTCATGTATTCGTATACATAACATAAAGAATCAAGTCGAGCACGGTCGCTTTGAATATTTTACGTCGGGGCATTTCGCATTGAAATGTATTAACTAAGCGTGAATACAAAGTGAATTCATATTTGTGGCCAAGCATGAATAAAATGGTTATAGTGTATGGTAAAGGCTTGCGGATATTAAGTTACTAAGACTTGGATTTAAATGTTTTATGATTTAGTTTTATTGTAAAAAAATACAGAAAGCTTTATTTGAGAATGTGTTTTAATGCGACAAGATGCAGCGACAGACTCGAGGTTATAGATAGAAATAAGTGACTATCGTCTATGTGACGTCTACTGCACCTTTATCATTGCAGATTTATTGTAAGAATGGGCCCCAGTTTAAGATACTAAAGTTTAAGATACGAAACACAAAAGAATAAAACAAGACACGTCCATATATAAATAAATATTTTTGGAAACATTTTTACACAACGTTCTCTAGTCCCAAACTAAGCACTTGTAATATGAGTACTAGAAAACTAATAGATACATTTAAACATGCTCTTCTTTTGTAAATAAATACATACTATACATATGTAAACACCCAGATCATGTTTTTCCAGTAGTGGGGATCGAACCCCCACCCTCTGGCGCCAGTGGCAGGTTCACTATTCCCCACGCCAATCGGGTCATCATGGGTGTATAATATGTTCATCGGGGTGTAAATGTTATATTTCAAGCTCAGGGTGTTAAATTAAGCTGATTAAATTATGCATCGAATAATAATATAAAATAAAATACATATTAATTAATGTACTAAATATTATATTTTCGTTTAATTTCCTATATTATTTTATTATCCCTTAAAGTGATATATGTAAATTTTGTCTTTAAGCGTGTATATGATTTTATAAACATCGAATTTAATAAATGTATTAGTAATATAAAAATGAATTACTGATAAAATTAAACGAACATTTTCTATGGTAGCGCAATCAACTACGTAGTTCAAGTTGAGTTTGCCTTACAAGTCATTTAAGTTTCACTCGTTGCTAGTTAATAGCTAGTTGCTAGTTGCTAGTGTGTCTTGTGGCCTGTGTTGGCAATAGTTCTAAAATTGTTAGCCGTTTTCCTTATAGCTAAGAGTGCTTCAAAGGCGGCTGGCTCTAACAAATTAAATGCTCGCTTAGACCAAAACTACTCCTTTACAGTGTTATTCTATGGGGAATGACCCACGCCATAAGAACCCGGCTTGGGAGCTAAGCGCTCTAGACTCGATTAACATTTCCAAATAGTGACTCTAATATATTATTTTACAGTTCTTATTTTTTGAAAATTTTTTGAAAAAATTTCCAAAAAAATTTGGAATTCAAACATTAAACATATTTAGAAATTTACAAATAAATAGGAGTTTATATTATACCTAACATAAGCAGTAGCACCTTAAATTATTATGCGTAATAATGAAAACGGAGATGAAGACTTGTCTGGTAAAAATCAAATGTTTGTAATATATGTTTCTATAATTTAAGAAATAATTTAAATACAGCATTTATATGAAGATTATAATATGTAAACGTAGTGAAGGGCCTAATGTTATAAGTAATTTATCTAAAAACCTGTTAGATGTGTGTACAATAAGGATTAGCACACCGCATGTCGAGCACAGAAAATTAACGCGTGGATATTATAGAGCGAACTTTATGTAAACAAAATTTATATGAAAACACTCCTAAGCTTCGAAACGCCAACCCGTGTCAAATGCATGCACAAATAACAAATAAGCACAAGGGATTTTCTAACGTGATTTGTAGTTACGTTATATACGCTATAAGGCGTATCGATACAATTTAGGTTCATTCAAATTATTACAATAAAAAATCTACTCCTCCACAAACATTATTTTAAACAATTACCTACTTATTATTTTTTTACTAACACTTATTAATACTACTTATTTATTTAAATATTAATTACTACTTATTATTTTTTTCAAAGATCACTCGTAAGAAAAACAACTTAGAAATTCTAAAGATGCACTAATTTAAGCTTAATAACAGAATATTAAGTATAATAACAGAATATGCTTTAAAAACTCCATTTAAGTACTTTTATTTTATCATTACTTTTATATCTTAAAAATGAATAGATAAAGTACATTTAAATTACATAAAGTCCTATGCCAACAAGCATACAAACCTTGTGTTCTGATTAGAAGGCCAAACAGGAAAAAATTGACATTAAAAACTATCTTCATTTTGTGTGTTCGGTTTTCTTTCAGTATATTTTAACTAAAAAATAATAAAATAAAAAACGACTTTCTTGTATGACGTACGGACAAACGTACAAGAAAGCGAGATAATGAAAACGTAGTAACACGGTAATAATAAAACAAACTGTACTTTCCTACCTACGCACTCTTTTTGTTACGTTCACATCCTAAATTAATATAACACCAGGCCAATTAATATTTAATTATCAATTTCGATATATAAGAAGGGTTAATCTGGGGGCTAATTCAACAGGGAATTTATTAAAGCCGGAATGACCATGCGAGTGCGTATAAAAACTGTATTTCGAAAGTAATTAAAGCTATTCAGTGCGCGGTTTAACGATGGGGGTAAAGTAAACCGTCTACGGGGTAATGAATAAAACATGTTACGTACGGTGTAGACTTGCCCTTACGATGGTTTAATAGAAGTCTAAGTTACTACCGAAGTAACGACTAACGACAGTGTTGCATTAAGAGTGATAACAAATTGAAATTTTATTGAGTTACTAGCTTATACCCGCGACTTCGTCTGCACAGACAACCGCAGATTGCTAATATTTTATTTATTTAGAGAAATGGCATAATATACAATCAGCTTCGGGTAAATAATAAATATTTTATTTGTTTATGCATTGTGTGTGTTAAATGAAAGAAAAAAGGAAAACAGTCAAAGTATTTTTAAACGCAATGAATAGCGTCAAATGTCAACTTTTTTGTGTTATAATTTTAATTACAACTTAGTTACTAAGTATATCTGTATGATGTTTGGAAATTACTTTAAAGATCGTAAAATTTCGCATAGACTTGTTAATAGTTGTGGCGTGTCATAATTGAAATAG